TCAAGCCATGCTTGATATAAACAAGGAGGGAAGCTTTTGCATCTCTTAAGTTTTTATGCAAAAATATTCTGAAGTGGTTTAAGGTCTAACCACCACAAGGAGTTGGTTAAAAAAAACCATGTTGGCTTCTGCGTCAGTAAATCGGCCAAGATTATGTCTCTGTGTTATTTAGTTATTAACGTTTTACAGAAGAGAATTGTTGATGCTGCTTGTATCAACAACTGATGTATCAACAACAGTTGATAGCTTGTTGATGCTAGCTTTTACAATAAATATTAAAGGAAAGGGTGATAGTCAATTCAGCATTTTTTTCATTGCATCTTTATTCGAAAAGTAACATGAATTCACAAGTGAGTAGTTTTTTGCTCTCTGCCCATGGTTATGTTCTCCAAATGAAATGATCAGATAGCGGGTCTCCAGTATATTTAACAAACTTCTAATGGAGACATTTGAAGGCGTTTTAATAGCCTACAGCATGTGTCTAAGAATTGCTCACTGTACTAGTGTCTGAGTGAGAGAGGGCACAGAAGAAGCAGTTTGAGGAAGATGGGGAATAAGCATCCTCATAATTCAGGAAATATTTTTTTCTATTGTTGGATAGTTTGGTTTAAGGGAATAACTGAAGAAATACTGCAGTTATAACATGAATCTGCCCTTCCATCTTCCATTTTCTATTTTTTTTTCTTTATATGTCCATCTCCGTTGACAGCCAAAATACTTGGCTTTATTTATTTATCTTTTCCCATCATCATGCTGTCTGGATGCATTAAAGAAATGAAAATAAACTGTTGCCAATATAAGACACAAATCAAACCTAGCCCTACCATTTCCACTCATTGATGAGATAAGTACCCACTGGCTAGAGGTCCAATGGAGGAAAGGACAAAGTGGATAAATGTGTCTTGTATCATCCTGTAATTCACAAAAGTAAGTCCTTTGGGAATGTGGGAAGAGATAAATATCAGAGATGAACACCTTCAGTGAAACAGCTTCCCCCACCATGCATTTCAAGTATAAGGCGTTGGTTTGAGAGTTCCAGGAGATTTCAAGAGTTAAGGACATCCATTAAGAGCCATTTCCCAGCAGTCTTATGAGATCTGAAGTTAAGCACAGCAGAAAAATATCATCATGAAACAGAGAAATAAAAAATCCTGGAGAAATGCATAGTTGTGTATATACACAGAAACCCATGAGACTCTTAATAAATTTCTGGGTGCTAGTCAAAGCATTGTTTTTAGTCTGTAAGCCCCTAAAGGTATTTTAAAGATTATTTTATCTCCTCTTGTCCTTGGAAATGAGATTATACGGTGGCCCAGTGGTGAAACTGCTTCAGAGCATCTTTAAAAAGGAAGAGGTTCCACAGAAAGTGACACTGGTGCGGGTAAAAACAACATACTCTGTTGAACTTTGAGACTTCCTGAAAAGCTTGCCCATTGCTTTCAGGCTTTCTTTTACAGGAAAGTTTTGCACAGAAACAGTGACCTATTTAGTGCATGTGTCTAGATAAATTAACAGATAGATCTATATAGATCTTTGATATATCTATATATCTTTAAGATAGATACATTCTAGGCAGCTACAGTCTTAAAAAGGAAAATTGTTTCTTGGGAAGTTCTTCATATGGAAGCTCTTGGGAAACTGAATAATGGCTAATCACAATGCTCCACATATTGCTTTGAAGCAATGAATGTCTCTGTTGTAAAAATAGATCCATCTACACGTGCCAGGTGCCAAAAGTGAATAAACAGCACCTTTTGGTCAGCAGTATCAACGGAAGCTGAAAGTTGTCATTAAACCACCACTTGATTTCTGTACCTGTATAAAAAGACATCAACCACATCACACACATCACATTACACATCAACCAATGTGTAAATTGTAGTTTCCTTTTCATGTCTAAACACTCCATCCAAATTTGTAAAAGAGAAAATTGATAAATGTATTAATCTGAAACCCCTTCTTAAAAAAATTAATGTAAAGCGCTGCCAGACATTTCATCTTAATCACCACACTATGAGGAATGTAGGGTTTTTCAGAAAAGAGTTGAAATGGTAAGGTAAGACATTTTCTGTACCTATATCCCTTATATCAGTGTAAGTGTGTGTTTTATAACCCCCCCCCCACACACACACACACTGTGAAAATAACAATTATATCAGTTACTTGTGCAGAAATATAGATGTTACACAAAATGAATTATGTTGTATGTTTTAATTTGGTAAAATGATAAAGACTGTCCAGTAACAACTAGCAGTTCTTCCTTGTGAGGATAAAAAACTGGATGGGAGCCAGGAAAGTAGTCTTACAATGAAACTGTATAAATAAATAAAACACCCCTTTTGAGTGCTGATCACAGGCAGTAAAATTTCTCCCTGCCATCATTTTGGGATGCCATAACTAACTCCTGGGGATATAGGGTAAAGTTACAGATGCTTGTCCCTATTTCTTATTCATCTTCCTCAACATTATTTTTCGCTGTTGGTATGGTAAGGGTGTTTTTAAGCATGTGTGTTGTTTTATATTCAATATTTTGCTAAATATTAAAGTTAAAATGAAATGTTACAGCACAACCAAAATAATGTTTTGACAATTCTACATTTTTAGAATTTTCCATCTTTGGGAAAATTTGAATTTTCAGCTTTTTTTATCCTATCCTAAACACCCCCTCCATTCCTGTCTCCCCTGCCCCCCTTCCCCCTCCCCACCAAAAAAGGGAAACAGTCTTATACAGTGGAAATTCTAGTTACTGCCCAGCTTTGATTTTTAAATGTAATTGTAAAATAGTGTTATTCTAAATATTATACACCCCTACCTGTCAAGATTTTTTTTCCCCTTTGGTTCTTTCTAGCACTAAGACAATCCAGTCTTGACATAGAAGTCCTGGTTCTTCTTGCCAGGTCTATGACTGACCTCTTGAGTGATGCTCCGCAAGACAGTTTCCCTCTCTATACCACAATTCCTTCGTCTATAAAATGGGATGATTATATTGATCTCCTTTGTAAATCTATTTGGGATCTATATCTGAAAAGAACTATATAAGAGCTAGGTATAACTGAAATAGTGAAGTCATTCACCATTAAACCCCTGCAGAAAGCCTGAGTAACCCTTTGATCATTTTCAATACAGAAAGTAGATATGTGTTTGAATGAGAAGAGAGAATAATTTCAGTATGTAAGGTGGTCATTTCGACTAGGATATAATACTAGCCAACAAAGGAAAACTGTTTTGGAATAAACAAGATATACTAGGATTATGTGAATTTCATGAACTGCTGTTACTCTTAAAGGAAATTATAAGCATGTTCCTCTGTTAACATCAATAGTTTGAGAAGCAAAAGATGTGTACTCAGTGAGCTATTAACCCACAGACTTTCTGTATAACCCTAAGTTAATTAGATCAAGGTAGTCAAAAACACTTAGGGGCCTATCTCTAGAAAACCCTCTGGATGCCTATCTACATTTTTTAGGCACCTAAATATCTTTTCAGCTCTGGGGCCCTCTCTTTTTCATCTCTAAAATAGAGATAATAGCACTGCCTTTCTGCAATGGGAAGTTTCTAGATGCATATATTACAATGTTTAGTAAACTGCATGCTTTTTATTCTTAGGGCATAAGAATTTGCCTTTTGATTCCATGTTTTAAGGAAACCCAGAAACTTGTAACACTTATCATTCATAAGTTCTCTATTATACTCATGTATGGAAAACACATAATTATTACCCAGATGAGTTATAGGGTGTGTCTACATGTGCATTTAAGTGTAACTAAATTTAATGTGTATTAAGCAATTTTGGTAGGTGTCTACACATGCAAGGACTTGGGATTAAAATTAGTCCCAAGTCCCTGCAGCCCTGCCATGTGCCGCTGTGGCTACTGGGGAGAGCTCTAGCCTCCAGCCACATGGCTGCCAGCAGTGGCAGCCATGTTCAAACCAGGGCCAACTGGCAGCCATCTGGGAAACTGACCTATGGTCAGCCCCTTTCGCCCAGTGCGGGGGTATCATGTGGTAGCTTCCTCCTTGCCCACCCTGCCTCTCCATGTCAGGGCTGCTCCTGCCAGTGACTCCTAGCACCCTGCTGCACTAGCCAGGCCCATAACAGTAATGACCAGCACCCCATTCTCCAGCTGGCCCTGGTGCTGGCCCCGGCAGCATCCCCTGCCCCCACCCAAGCCCCAGGACAGCCATGCACCCACCATCGGGGGCCAGAGCACTGGCTGTGGTGACCCCTGCCTGACCCCCTCCCACTCCAGCACGCCTATTCTGTGATCCACACACCCCATGCCCCCTATCCATCCCCAGAACCACTCTCAGGACACACACATGGGTGAAACAAACACAACACCCACCCTCATGCTTCCCCCCGTCCCCGTTCCCTCAACAAACAGAAACCCCTCCCCCTCATTCAACAGAGTCCACCACCCTTCCCATTCACCAACAATAAAAAATACCTGCTTACCAGTGTGAAACTATATACAAGGAGAAAACTATATACAAGGGGAGGAAACTATTTACAATATTTTGGGTGTTCAAGCTCAGAGTGGGGGCTGTGGGGGGAGTCTAAGAGGCAGGTGCCCAGCACTCCAACCCCTGGATGTTCCCTGGGGATGGGCTCAAGCCAGTGCCCTAGTGGTAGGGAAGACGCGGCACTAAAGTTAGTCCTGGGTCACATCTACATGTGTGTTAATACACATTAACTAATTGTGCCTTAATTTGATATCTGCATTAGTAGGTATCATATTTAGGCATGGTTAGCTTAAGTTAATGCATATTAAAGGTACACACATGTAGATGCACGCCCGTAATGTGCATTAACAAATCTCATGTAGACATGCCCATAGGGTAAATTAATGTGAGCATATCCATGTGTTGGTAAAAAATATTAACTCTGTTTTTAAAGTATTTAATGAAATCATTATTTTTTTCCTTAAAGCCTTCAAAACCCAGTTATAGTTTCTGTCTCCTGATAATTATTTTTGTTTCATTTGTCTCTCTTAATCAAGGTTGTCTGGAATGAACATACCTCCTCCTATTATCAGCAACAAAAATTGGCTCAGACTTCATTTTGTAACAGACAGCAACCACCGATACCGTGGATTTAGCGCTCCCTATCAAGGTATATTTAATGAAAATCATTTTTTGTTAAATAATTAAAAAAAAAAAAAATTGGGGGGGGAGTAAGAAAGCAGTATTTCATATAAAGAGGGAAATTTCCTAATCTGTTTATAATGGATAATTCAAACATATGTAAATGATCATTCTCCTGCTGTGGGAACAACATCATCTTTGTTAAATTACAATATAGACTAAAGCAGATACTTGCCCTGAAAATGTTTAGCATTTAAAAGGAATCTAGAATTCTGAAAGGTAGTGTGTAATACATGCTGAAATAACATTTCCATCATTAAAGTATATTGTTGCCTGTTCAGAATTATATAATAGACCATGTTTGTAAAACAGTGCATGAGAACTGCATTACTAAATAGAAATTTTATCAAGTACAATCTATTTCTGTATGCACTGTATTACTAAGGGTTTAATTAACCTTATTAGGATTCTTATCCACTCTTTTTATGAACAAGTATAATTTTGAATAAGTAGAACAAAAGTATCTGAGACATTAACTTGGGAACCTCAGTGTTTAGAACAAGATCATTATAAAGATAAAGTACTAATGAAAATGAAGCTACTGTTATATTTGGTAATACTGGCTGCTTTGTTGTAACCCATTATTGTAAATAATACATTTCAATCTTTATAGTGTAGCAACTGGTCTTTTGGGAACAGTAACCCTTGTTACGGTTATGTTTTTCCATTTATTTGTCTAAAGGATTTTTACACAATAACTAGCAAAGGGGTTTTAGCTGTAGCATCTCTCTTGCGCTATTTCTGCAAATAATTATAAATGAAAGAAAATGTATCTGTATTTGTAACTGTTCACAGGATCAGGTTCCTATTATATTTTTTAGATGAGGCAAATGTTGCAGCTGGAGTTATACCATACTCCTGAAATGCAGTGCCATTTGCAATTGGAAGTCTTTTATAATTTTGTGCAGTTGCCTCAGATATAATGTTCCTCTCCAGGACAGAGCTGAATTTTGAGTAGTATTTTATCAAACCTGCATACTTCTGTACACCAGATTTCTCTAGGTTATGTACCTCTAGAGTACGTACTTTAAGAAAATTTACATCAAAGGAGACATCCTACTGAAGCCCTGGGTTTCTTTCAACTGTATTAGCTTAGATTTATTTTTGTATAGCATACTTCATACCAAATATCACAAAGAAACTACTGGAAACAGAATATGATATAGGGTTAGTAATAGGATATGACAGAGGCTTTCATTGCTGGGTCTGTAGACTAAAGCAATCCCAGGCTGGTAGTGACTAATCATCTGGTAGTTTTTTCAATGTCTTTTATATAGAGTAAAATGAGTTGGTGATCACACTTTGCTTTGCAAGTTGACAAGTGTCAGCATAGGGGACAAAAATGCCTTATACCATAACTGATACCTTTTATAAACATTCTTGGTAGAAGTGCCAAGAAAATTAATGACCAAGAAGTATGCGCTATTCAATGATTCCTAAAGATATTCTCTCTAGGTCATATATGAACACACGGTGGGCAAGCATGAGAAATCTGAACATTTTGTTCAGAGTTCTTGTTTATCAACTAATACCTGCAACCTCTAAAATCTTCTGTGAACATAAAAGTTAGTTTTCAAAACAAATCAGGAAGAAACATAGGGAGAACCAGTAAAAATGCATCAATATTTACTGCATGGTAGTAGCTGAAATACTACAGAGTTAAAATGGAAAAAATAAAAGTTCCCAGAGTTAAAATGGAAAAAAAAAAAAAGTTTTGTAAAGATGGGCAAAGCAGCTGTCAGAGACAGAAAGCAAAACCTGGCATATGAAAACTGATTAAATAAAAATAAAATATAAAATTGGTAAACATGCAAGAAGAAAAATGCAGAAATGCAGAAGGGGAAGCTGTGATTTTTAGTCAATGGGCATGTCTACATGGTCATTAATGCACCATAATTATGGCACATTAAGCTTAGTACCTGTGATAGCCATAACTGGCACTACTGCGCATTAGTGTAGAGGAACTTTGTTGTGTGATGTTAATGTGCATTAAACTAAAGCTACTGCGCATTACCTCATTAGCATGTTTTTTTGCCAGCTGTGCTAATGCACAGTAAAATTAGTCCCATGTGCATTAGGTGTCTTTGTGTAGGCATGCCCAATGATCTACTAATACTCAAAATGTGTGGGGATACAAGACAAATCTTAAATAAGGAATCCCACTTACGTATAAAATTAAATTTTTCTGACGGAACAAGCACTTTCTGGAAATAGTTTGTAAGTAAAACTGAGATAACCCTTTTTTCCCCCTTTTTCTTTATTTTACTAAGTAAAATAGATTGTTTACAAAGCCCATATTTGAACAACTTATTTGAGCCTTAATTCTGTTTTACACTTTTTGCAATGAGAAGAAATTTCACAATAGTCCATTTTATGCAATAATCACCTGCAGTTCACAACCAGTATGTTGAAGAGTAATTGGACTGAAATTCAAGTTTCAAGTAGGTTGGTTTTCCTTTTGAGGTACCTTGGGGGTTTTTTCTAAGCACTTCTGCTATCCTGTAGCATTGCTGAGTTGTTGTTGTAATTGTTCTATCATTTTCTTTCAAAAGCCTACCCTTGTCTGTATAGAGCACATGCCATCATTACCACCAAGATTACTATAACATTCCTTACCTTTCCCTTCTCTAATCATTCCCACATGCTACCAGCACAGCTAGACTGTCCTCTCACTCAAGCCATTCTACCCCATTCATCCCTTCGCTCAATTTTTCACTTCTAAGGTCTAAACTCCTCATTCTTATCTTCCAGACACTGTGTCCCAACATCATTTCTACAAGTGCTTATTATTTCAGCACTCCTCTTGTGTAGCTGCTTTTGGTTTCCTCTTTCCCTTTGTACTGCCGCATTTTTCTCACACTGGCCCCCTTTTCTGCAATATAGCCTCACTCTTTAGAAACAAAAACTCCTGGGTGAGGTAAAAAATATACCGGTGAATACAAAGGCAAATCAAGAGTTTAAAATGGAACCAAAAAAAAAAACCCAACCAACCAAACAAAAAAACCCCACAAAGTACTCAAGGTTCATACACACAAACTAAAACAATCATGTACACTTCATCTGTTCCCGTCTGGTCATAGTTCCTGAACCTACTTTTATTTCATGACTACCTATTTTGTGGTGTTATTTTGTATCTTTTACACTTTGAATAGTTTAGAAGCCCAAGACTTGTAAACATTTATGTACAAACTTAGTTTCAAGTATATGCATAAGACTGGGTTTTAACTTTTTCATTAACGGGCACACATTCCTATGAGCACTTTCAAACAGCAGTACAAAATGAATGAAGTTCACCCAGCACAGAGGGCTTGTGAGACTCTGTATTGTGTTAGCCATAATGTAATATGCATTGTGTGCTTGGTGATTAACCTCATCCTGAACATCTTTTAGATTAAAAAAATGTATTGAATGTAGCTATATTAATATAAAATGTCAAAATATCAATGAAAAGAATTAAAGTATTAATAACTATTCACAACATTTTTCTCCATATTGTCCTACCTCAGAACATGCTAATTCTTTTTGATCCAGTTCTCTATTGTAACACCTCTTCTGGGCTATAAGGACTGGGCTGAGGCTTGCTTTCCTTATCACTTTCTACCCAAAATTCTTCTTCCATTTACAAAATATTTTTGAAAAATGAGCTCAAAAATTTTAGATGTTACTGCTGCCACTACTGTCATAACATCAGACTTACTCCTACTGCATCTGCACTAATCACTAGTGCTTCTTCAGTCTACCCTATTGTTATAGCTGTATAACTTCTGCAAGCTTCCCACTGACCCTTGTCACATCCATGTAACTCATACTTCCATGTAACTTACCTGATTTGATTGAGAGGTTTGAGTCTGATTTCCTACTTCTAGTCTCCCAACCAGTCTTTAAGGTAAAATTGTTGGTCAGGGAAGATTTGAATTTAAGAGTTTTAGCTGGGAAGAACGTTATTCATATCTGTTTAAACTAGTGTTTAACCATAACTTTAATATACAGCATCTCCTTTAACTTTCTTTCCAATCTTTTCTCTTGTCAATCTTTTTAAATATTCTAGCAAATTTCTGTATTAGTCCAATATTTATTATCATGCATCTCATTGCTGAAATCCATCACTTGCGCCTCTTCCTCCCCCCCCCCCCCCCCCCCCATTTCTTGATATTATATACTGGTAATGATTGTTTTCACAATGTTGACATATTCTAATATGTAGGCTGAGTTGCCAGACTGATCTATCATCAGTTAACGTTCTTTGCTTATAGAAATCTAATTTAAAAAAATGAAAAGAGGAAATACGCATGCTGACTCTTCAGAGCAGGATTTGGAGAATGTGTAAATATGAAGCAAGGTGTGGGCTGATAATGCTGTTTATTAGTTGCTAATCACTCATGTGGAATCAGACTGATGTAAAACAGAGCACTGAATGCCTGAGAGGATCTGTTGCAGCCAAAGTTGAACAGTTTTCTTTTTACACTTTATTATTTCATTCTTTGTTTCCCCCTCTTCTGCTTTTTTCTCCCTGTCCTTTGGAATCATCTGAGGAGGAATATGAATAAAAACAATTCTTATTTATAGCAATAAAAAAGTAAGAGGCTGGGAAACTATAGGCAAGTCTTTCTTTCTTGTCTTTCTTTCTTTCTTTCTTTCACCCGTACCGGGTAGCTGAGCAGGACGCCATCTGCCTGGCCAACTTTCTACTGGGCCAGGCCAAGATGGCCATCCTCAAGAGTCATCACAACTGGCTTGCTGGGATTGGCTCAGATGATGTCCTGCGGCTTTTTGGCCTCCTGGTGCAGGCGCGCATCGCGCTGGAGTTTGAGCACGCTGTGGTCCAGCGGGCATTGTCTGCCTTTGAGGCATGCTGGGCCCTTGAGGAGGTGCCGTTCCATGTGTAGGATGGCCATCTTCAATACTCACTCTGATGTCATGACCGGTCTGGGCAACTGGGCAGGCTCGGTGGTGGACTGTGACTCCATG